CGTTTCGAGCAAAATTTATTGTCGCTTACAATCATATCAGGACACTACTCATACAACTTTCTAAATTCGTTTATATAATTCCATTATTTGCCATCGCTTGATTTGATTGACAGTAGTACTTTCCCTATTTCCGGTATGAGTGATGAGTAATTCCTATTACACGTGTTGGGTGTAGACTCGATGAGCTAGGACTAAGTAATCAACCTTTCTGCCTCTCTCCACCTACCCATATAATTTCAAGGATTTTAACCCTCTCTCACTTTATTGTGTGGTTGTGTGTTAATGCATACAGTGCAATCGCTGAGCTTTTTTCTAGATTACTTATCTTCTCGGGTCAACCATTCTACCCTTAGCTAAATTCTTGTGTTCTGACAATATGACTACCCCTGACCTACTAGTATGACCTATGTAGTTGACCTCACTCACAGTCATTGCAGGGTATTTTGTAAATTGTATTATTTTGTCTAAATGTGTCAACGTGTGGGGTGCTTTATCCTACAGAGCTTGTCCTATCTGATTTAGTTTGTATTTTTGAATGCCACCGTAATGCCTGCTATATTGTTAATCCTACGTAGGGCCTCAGATGTCCCCTCATTATATAGTATAACATGATGAAATGAAACACATGCAATAGAAATGACTCACCACTCATACCGGATATATGGAAAATACTACTACCAGTCAGATCGCGTGATGGAAAATAATGAAATTATATAAACGAAGTTAGAAAGTTGTATTTTGATGTGGTTTTGTTCTCTGAGCTGGATGGTTAGTTTGCGAAGCTTTCATCGCCCTACTGGGTGACATCTTCAGCGCATACTTCAATTTGAAGTCAAATGATGAAAGCTTCGCAAACTAACCATCCAGCTCAGAGAACAAAACCACATCAAAATCATCCACCTGAGCTCTAAATCTTCTCTATCATATTTAGAAAGTTGTATGGGTAGTGTCCTGATATGATTATGAGCAGCAATGAAATTGTGCTCGAAACCTGATCATCAGTAAATAACACTGTAAAACAACACTTTGAGGTTTTATCAAAATAAGTTTCACGCATAAATCATCGGCCCGATGCTCACTAAATGAAAGTTTAGAGTGAAAGCCGGTGAACTACATCCTCGGGTTCGAGTCTGGATCCTGGATAGCATTATATATCATAAGCCTTCATAATCTTGTACAAAGAGGAACTTGTAGAAGCACATCTGCTGATAATAAACAACAATTTTAATGGATTATGATATTAAAATATTACATATGTTTGATATCACACAAAATCGAAGACTTACAAGCAAAAACTGACCGACAAACTGGTTGAAGAAGCAGCCGGCGAAGACAGGACTCTAGGTGAACATAGACAAGACAGGGGTTGTGAAAATAACCAACCAACAACAAGAACAACAACGGCATCAGCAACATCCAGCGTCAATCACCATCAACGGGATGGATTTGAAAGAGACTACTTCATTCACCTATCTAGGGAGCGTTGTCTCAACTACAGGAAGTCAGAACGGACGAGGATGTCAAGTCGGGAATGGGTGTGACGAGAAACGCATTCATCAACATGAAACGAATCTGGAAATCTTCGTCACTCGGCATCAACAACAAAATTAGGTCGGATTTTCAATACAAACGACGTCAAGTCGGGCAGTTCTTGTATACGGAACGGATCGGAAACTTGGCGGGCGGGTTACAAAGAATATTTCCAACAGCCTGTTGCAGGCCTGTATCAACAACTGTCTTCGCTGGATCTATACTGAAGATCAGACGGTCGGGACGAAAAGAATCACCAACAAGAAACTATGAGCACAGGCAAAGAAAACAAGAACCAATCACCAGCCAACAAATATGCAGGAGAAAGTGAAGAAAGATGGCTTGGACACTCACTGATGAGGCCGCTGGGTGACATCGCTTGCGCGTCAGGCCGACACTCTAACAGTACGGACTAACTAACATGGATGCAGGTGAAAAGTACAGCGAAGGCAGAAGCAAGTGGAGATGTGCAGCTGAAGCTCTGTATTCCACTAGGAAACCAAGCAAACAACAGTAATAATAATATATTTTCCCATGGTTAAATTTAGAAGAAGATATTTAATCCAAAATTGTTATTTTTGATTAGATGTCATCAAGCTTAACTGTAAGGTCTTTACGAATATATATTTTAATTTCCTGAACCATGAATACTGTTTTCAATAACTCCATCATCAGGCTGTGCATTTGCACATACATAACAGTGAATGAATTAGTGTTATAAACAACAATAATACCGTTCAAATAACGTCAAAACAAATGTACTTGTGTAGCGAGTTTTATTGACTGCTCCTCTAGGAAATTGATTTTTCGTGCTGAGGAACATTCATAAGTGTGAATAAGTAAAGGTGTATTAGAAACCATCAACAGTTCTTTCGTGCATTTATTCCCCTTTGATGAATTTGAATAAAGCAAGAAAAACAGTAGTTGGTGCAGAATAATATGGTACCATCATTGCTTATTTCGTTGGCTTCTCATCAGCTCCTCCAAGCCCAAAATAAATTATGACGTTTGCATACAGAAAAGTCTCAACATGCTTGCAAATTATTATCATGGTGTCACTTGACAGAAGGTTCCACAATTAGTGAACAGTACTCAGAAAATTGAGCTTATATGGTTTTTAAACCGAAAGTTCAGGTTTAAACAAAATAAATGTATGCATACAATGGTAAAGGAGTTACGTAATAAAGATGAGAGATGCACAAGATGTAAAGTGACTAACAAATTGGGTAACAATGTACTGAGTTCAGCTCTAATCATAGAAATAAGAGACAAGCAAAAATACAAATTATAAAGTGAGGGAGGTGAGGCTAAAGACAAAGATTACGTAATCAAACGAAAGAGAGAATAAACACATCCAGTGACCACAGCAAGGAAAAACTGATAACTTCTTCCTTCTGAACACATGAGTCTGGTTTCAGGCGTTCGAATGAAGCTACTTTGTTTATTGATAATATTAAAGGATTTCTCGATTTCCACCTCATGATGCGTGTCGAGGAGATGTCTGATAATAGCGCTACCATAAGAGTTTGTTCCTTGAGACGTGGACTTTTCGGTACATGTTCAGAAAATTAGAGGCGTGTCCTACTTTATGTTCTCCTAATGTAACTGTTGGTACGGATACATGTGAATATGTACACACAGTTGGAGTTAACATGAGAATTTCGTTATTAGACCATCTGGTGGAAACCGGCCACAGAGCCAGTGAACATTGAAGAATCCTTCACTATCATCTGCCAGGTGCCAAGTTAATCGCCAAAATATCGACCTACCGCATGCTTCAAACAGCAGGGTCTATAGCGATTCGCGTGAAACAACCGCTGATTTAAGTGCAGAAGAAGCAAGTCCAGCCAGCCAATACTACTGCCTTGGTCAGCCTTTACTAGCGACTATAAGTTCATGAATTTGTAATATTATCTTTGCTAATTTTTATGACATTCAGTTTATTGTTATGTTGATGGTATTGAACTGTAATCCATTGATATTGGTATTATTGATTCGATTTTATTTAAACAACATTCATGTTGTTAATAACACTTATTTATTCACTATTATGTATATATAACTGTAAAAACCTGACGACGAGGAAGTTATCAAAAAGGAATATTCTTCGTTCACTAAACATTCGTTTGAAAAATATCAACTTCTGTTTATATACCTACAGGTTTCTTGGTTTAAAAGTTACAGTTTATTTAAATTAATTATTGTCGTTAAGTGAGCTGGATGTTTTGGGAAGATAAATGAGCACCTGTAGGAACATTAAAATTACTTAATGGCCATGAATGTGTGAGTCGTATAGCCGGCTGACTTCAATCTATAGGTAACAAGTTTAAAGCGATGAAAGTATTATGTATATATGTGTAGACACACATGTACCTATATAATGTTACCATTTAAAGCAAAAATTATGGCAGTTAATTTTCGCTTCTACACACATTTCTTGAAAATACTTAGTTCGTGAGTTAATTACAAAAAGTCAGATAAATGATTTCATTCCATATGAGATAATAACTCGAATGAACAAATGGTTTACACCACAACAGGAGTGTGAAATGGCAGTGACAGCAATCCTGTTTGTTTATCCTTCAAATCCTTTCACAGATGAAATAACCCACTGAATATCTGATCTAGAAGAAGTTGATTTTAATCGTCTGACTTTTTTGTTTTTTTTTCACTTTGTCTTTTCAATTACCTCTCTAAATTATTAACCTTGTGATCTTTTCATTTGTTTTCGAAAATTTCATTCGGTTGATAGAATCGTTTTTCAGATGACAGCGAGATCTTGAGATGATAAACATTATAAATGAGTAATTATGTCTTCATTTTGGTAGATGGTAACTAGAAGTGGAATCAAACAGATCGTCGTTTCAACAGACACAGGGTATTTCGTTCCAGCGTAATCAACCAACGAAAAAGGAAACAATTCGCGCGCTTTTCGATTATTACGCTACTTACTTTCATAAAAACTCTTGTTTCTATAGAAATTCATGGCGGTTGTTTGAGGAAATTATAACAGCAGCTGTTGATGAAGGTCTGAAGTTTGTTTGAGATGCTCTTTATGACGCGCTGGCCAAGTCTCTGATCCGTGTATTAAGTAGCGCTGACTTCACATTGGAGTTGAATATTCGGTTCTTATTTTTGATGCTGAGCGCTGTTGATCTCTACACAGACTTGTAAGAGAGTAATGAAAGCTTGTCTTGCTTTTCCGATTCTCGCTGCTTTGATATCCGCGTCACTTCCGCCTGTAGGTGAAACGATGCTTCCAGGTAGGGTAGGTAGTTAAGGAGGTTGTTTCTTTCAGGTTCCTCCCATTTGTACTGGTTTTTGTCTGTTGTTGGTGATGCTATTGATAAAGTTTTAATTTTCAACTTATTTACTCCATATAAACAAAAAGATTATTGAAAATAGTCTGTTTGTAAAGTGGTGCTGCATTATCTGTGCAGACAAAACATGAATTACACTAAATTGCTTAACTCGTAGTCACCTCTTCCTACCTATTTGCTCAAACATCGATTACACATATTTTGTTGAAACTATATATTGATCAAATATAAAGGTATTTATTCAAGCATGTATAATATATTCAGTTAAAAGAAATGTAGCGCATTGAAGTCACAAAATACGTTGTATTTATGAGTAGAAGGTATTTTATTTCAGATTTCAGTAGTATCGTCACTTTAGCAATTGTCAATAATTATTCTTCCAATCAAAGTTCATGGTGAACTCACAGTAAACTCATGTACCATTGTTTTTTGGCGGATAACTTAAAATGAAATTGTTTATTTCGTTTCTGCAATAATTTAACTTATACATGGAGAATCATTTCCTCCGAGGGTCTTTGGCAACGCATCTAAAAGGCATCCCCATGTTTCACCCAGCCGAGTACACAGAGCTTTCCTGCAAAACAATGTCACAAAAGCAATAAATTCAATGCTTATATGCTTATCAGTCGTTTGTGAGTATAATAATAAATGAAAAAAATCATGGAAAATTCAATATTGTGACTTTAAACTGATAAATATGAGTAACTTAATGATGGCTCTTTATAGAATGTGGTTTCATGTCAAACTTACATTGACGGCTCAGTTAATGACGTCTAGTAATGACATGAACAATGTCCATTAAATTGATGATATTTATTCTCAGACGACTGAAATCATTCTTCAATTGTTTAATTTGATTTTTGTATTGATTACAGCTTGATTCCACACTGTCTTCTTGGTACAGGTATTGCATTTTCAGAATGGTTATCAGTAGGCCAAATTTTGCAGGCCAACCATAGATATCAGGTGTGCGTTGGCAAGGGATCGAACCTCAGACCATGTACATGATCGGCGAGAGTCCTAACTGCTGTGCTACCAACGCACACATATATTTAATATGGGAATGTTGAGTTACAGTGTACCTGTGGTGAGAGCTGGCTGCTAGGCATAGTTGGTGGACAGCAATTTACGTCAATGTTTATGTCCACAATAGTGGTCGTGAGAAAAATGAAAATCACAAGAGACTTTGCGTAGGCGGATACAGTTAGCATGTAGATGATCTGACATTCAAGAAACAGCCATAAAGAGATGAAAGGATTATTTCAGTGGCAAACAACCAGTCGGAAGACGGTGTTTGTTTGCCTAAATAATCTATATTAATGCACATGAAAATCTGTCAATATGTGTTGATTTCCTTAATAAACGATCTTTCGCCTGGCCCTTGTCTTCTGTCGTTTCGCAACCAAGGTTAATTTTCGCCTGAATTATAAGAATTAAACGCAAGAACCAGCCGAATCTCATAAGTGATGTATGTCAAAAGCACTCATATGAGTATCACTCCCACACACTATTATTGCTTCACCATATCTGTTAATTACCAAGGCATTTGTTCACGTAGATAGTGTAAACACACAGTCAGCACTCATATCATCAAAATGAGCAATTAAATTTGAGGCTCCTAAATTATATTCCATTTAGAATTTTACATTCATTTTCTTTGAGATATATAGGCCTCTGATTATTCTCATTACATTCTCGTCAAAATTGCATGATCCTTCAGAGTAGATAAAGATTTTATTCCGTATCTCTAATTTGTAACTTAAAAATTACCTTGTCACATTATTGGTATCATTTTTCATATAGTCAGGTGATGAGTAGATTAAGAGAGAATTATCCTGACTGTCTGTGCTTCAATCAGGGATAGATAGCTTTTTTTAACGTGAAATTTTAACAGTTTACAGAGGTGAAGTAGTATAGTATACATTTAGGGGATTCCGTAAAGATTTCGAGGCAGTGTAAGTTGCTATTTCTCGAAATTAATTTTGTACTGAGGGTTATTATGTCCACATGGACTGAACATTATGGTTTAGTACCTATTTTTACGGTATTTGGTCATGCGTAGGAGTCTAGCAGACACATATGCCGAACTGCAGTGAACACTATAAACAATCAAATAGACTTACCAGATATCAAGAAGGAATTCCCTTGGAGATAGACAAATTTCTATTTAGACAATCGAAGCTGGCAGAAGAAGCATCAAAGATAAGACTACAGGTGAACGTAGAGAAAACAGAGGTGATGAAGATACCTGGCCAACAGCAAAAACAACAGACAACAACCAGTACAAATGGGAGGAACCTGAAAGAAACAACCTCCTTAACTACCTACCCTACCTGGAAGCATCGTTTCAATTACAGGCGGATGGAATTGATGAGGATATCAAAACAGCGAGAATCGGAAAAGCAAGACAAGCTTTCATTACTCTCTAACAAGTCTGTGCGGAGATCAACAGCGCTCAGCATCAAAAATAATAACCGAATTTTCAACTCCAATATGAAGTCAGTGCTACTTAATACACGGATCAGAGACTTGGCCAGCGCGTCATAAAGAGCATCTCAAACAAACTTCAGACCTTCATTAACAGCTGTCTTCGCTCAATTCTCAAGATCAGATGGCCGGCCAGAAAAGATCACCAACAAGGATCTCTGGGAGCGAACCAACGAGGAACCGATTGTGAAACAAATAAGCAGGAAGAAGTGGAGGTGGATTGGCCATATTCTGAGGAAACCATCAAGTGACATCAATAGAAAAGCCATTGCTTGAGTGGAAACTGAAAAGGAAGCGGCGATTTGGTCGTCAGTACAAGTGTGACTTGGAGGAGGTCGTGTGAAGAGGAGATGAAAGCATGTGAGCAGACTTGGAGCGAAGTGAAAAAGTTGGCAGAAAACCAGATGCAATGGAGACGCGCGGCTGAAGCCCTATGTTCCTCTAGGAAGTAAAGGATATAATAATAATAATGATATGTACAAAATTGGCAGTTAACGCATCATGCTTTCACAAAAAGTCTTTTTAATGGATGTTGTCTAACGTGTAGTCACGAGTGTGGCTACGCAAATATCAGTAAGTCGACTGAAGTAGGTTGATCACGCGCATATCGCAATCACTGAGGCAAGTGACGCATTAACACTCCGAATTTACATTCACTTTACTGTGAAGGGGTTCAATTTCATTTAAATAGCAAGTTGTCAAAACCAGTGGGTCATTTGATTTAGAAAATAAAATGAACACCTGACTGTTTAATTTGGCGCTATAAGTTTGTCACCTTCTGACAAACTCCTGAAGATATTTGTAGTGGAATTTTGCAAGGAAATGTTTGTCGAATACTCTCCTCTGAAATGGCCTTTTTAATGACCTCAAAAATGATAATACAGCTTCCTCAATGTCTGATTTTGTTAAGAGAATGCAAAATGCACTAGTGACAAGATGGTGACTATTATCTTTTTCTTGCCCTATGCGTCTTCACTTTACCATATACAATATTCACCAATTTTTATTCAATAATTTAAGCAAAAGTCAATAGCATGGTTGTTTTTCCTTCACGTTCCCAGTGGAACATTGGGCTTTAAGCTAGAGGCTTGAAGTTTCTGTAGCAGTGTTTAGCTTTACAGGATGGGATTGCTAGCCTCATGCTCAACCTTTCCTTTTTTACAAGTCTCAATACCGGCTTAACGAGGTAAAGGAGTGCGCCAGTCGAGGATCAAACCCCGGACCATGTGGACGGTCGGTGAGCGCCCTAACCGCTGTTTCACTGACGCATCAGTTAATCTGAATAACACATTATCTACATCAATCGTTTCCACAGGAAGCAAGTTTCAATCTGCATATCTTATTGGAATAACCCCTGATTTCGATTTATACCCATTCAGACTTGAATCACAGTAAAAAGATTTGAGCTCTGAAGTGGTTTTACATAAGCCTTTTCTCATGAGATTCCTACCGGTTAACTTCGGATACCTGCAGTTATATCGATTGTTTTCAAAAAAGCTATATGAAAAGTGAAGAGATGCTCGTGAAACTAGAATGTTTGTCATTTAGGCACATGTTTCTCGCTAGGTGATATTCCTATTAATGATCCGTTCAGTTTGAACCTATAATTCTTCAAAAGATTTGATAAACACTCTCGATTGAACCGTCAAAACATTATCTGGGAAGGCGTTACTTAGAACGGATACATAAGAAATAGGTAGTGTTAAGGGGTTCCAATGGCAAGCACTTTTATGCTATTGACATGAGAATCTATTCAAACAGTTTTAGGCTGTGAACCATATCAGTCTGCTTCGTTATCGAGAATTTATATTCAAAGAACTCTGGTGAAGTGTTCAGTGAGTGATAATGGCAAAATAAAGAAGAGCATTGTAGAATCTTTTGAAGTTATTCGAAAATGACATTTCATTGTGCAGAATAAATAAAGGGATAAATGTTTCTGGTTTGACCCACACACTATTAAAAAAAATAAATGTTAACTGGAAAAACATTTTTAAAGTAACTACTATTGTACTTACTTCAAATTGAAGACAACTGTATGCAGAATAATGAAGTTGCGGGATGAAGTTTCGGATAAGAATCACATCATGAAATGGAATGATGGGCTAATCACTAATAACTACAGATTAAATCGCTCCTAATATTAAATGAGGAACTTCGTAGCAGTGTGTGTGACATGAGATCGCACGCATTCTAAAATATTCAGAATTATTAATGTAAGCGTTAAATGTAGGCTCTGTATTAGAATGAAATATCATATTGGGTAGACTAATCTCATGTATAAAATGTTGATACTGTAATAATAATTGGGTAACACCTTATTGCTGAAAGTGGTACATATGTATTCACACTACACCCCTGCCGAATTCACATGAATTCATCCCCACTAGTATCTAAATAAAACTCCTCATCTGTGAATGACCTGCAGTAGAAATGCATGACCTATTGACATCTACTCTTAAGAAAAATACCTTCAATGAAATATGGCTAAGGTAAAATTTCTGTGGTGATTGACAATTTCTATCCTTGTATTGTTTAAATACTTACTGTTGTTCGTTAATATATTTCTTATATGAATCAATAATTAGAATTCCGCCAAATACAAATTCAGGAATTCATTCCTCTCTGTGTTTCTGATTGAATTCCCGTAATTCGGTCATTTCGAAATAAAAATACTACTATTAAAAATAATTACAACAAATTGGCGTTGCTATGGAACTAAATAACATAAGAAAGTTTTCTATGAATGGTTCACTGCGGGAAATCACCGACTATCTTGAGTGTTTTGACGTATGGTGCATATCAAAGAGTGTTCACGATGACAAAATTTCAGCTCATTTTATTACTGCTATTGGGCCTGATGCATACAGCCTAGTGAAAACTGTGTCATTTCTAGATAAACCAATTTCTCTGTCATATGATGAGCTCCGTGAACTTCTAATAGTTCACATCCGTAGAACTACTTTTGAAACATGAGAGAGAGAGCCCACTTCACCAAACTTGTTCGTGCTCCCAACCAGAATATCAGAGACTTTATTCTTCGGCTTCAGATACAAGCTTCAAAGTGCAACTTTGGAGATCAGCTGCATACTCAACTACGTGATCGTCTAATTGCTGGGATCAATATTCCTAAGTTAGAAAAAGATTTAATTCGCATTCCTTTCAAACTGTTGAGGAATTATGTATTACATATGAAGATGTCAACAGTGAATACTCTGCTCTCACTACGTCAGTATCTGATGTCATGCTGTCCTAAGTCGAAAGTACAAGTGCTCTTAAAAAGAAATCCAAACTGTCATCCCCATGTATTGGAATACAGACAGAAAACAAAAACGCTAAACCATGTTTTTCCTATGGAAAGATTCATCTACAAAGCACTTGCCGTTTTCGGGTTGTTAAGTATCATAAATGTGGTAAGGCTGGACACATCAAGTCTATTTGCAGAAGTTCAAATACTTTTGTTACTCAGAATTCTTATGATTCTCCCAATCTGTCTAGTAAAATGGGGTCAATGTCTCTTTCGACTTTTTATAATATTCAATCTCATCTAATTAAAACCTTCACTACAAGTTCAGCGATTCAAGCGTCAACTTTATTGTGTATTTTTAAAAATAAAGTGGCCGAGTTACGATGCGATCTGTCTAAAACACGAAAACATTTGTTAGAGGTTGAAAAGAGCTTGAAAAGTAGCAATGAATTGGTTGGTCGTTTACAGGCTACGAATAAAAATTTGACAATTAAACTTTCAGCTGCTGAGAATTCCTGTTTAATGAAGGGGAAAGTAATCTGCAGACTAATAACTCAAATCGTTGAGCTGGAATCTGAGAATAAGCGAAGTAGTGAAAGGATCCGTGAACTTGAATGGCTTGTGGAGTCAGTGAGAGCTGTGCAAAAGGATTTAGAACATCAGTGTTTCGGAAAGAAGTGAGTGAAATGAAAGCTGGCTGGTTGTCCATTCGTCAAAAGCTGACTGAGACGAGAGAGCAATTGATGAAAATGGAGGAATTGCTGCATATGCATAGATTGCGTCTGTTGAATGCAGATCATACAAGCACCCAAGAAAGTCCTGCAAAATTATTCAAATCTCGAATTCTCAGAAAACATCTGATGTCCACAACTACTGATGTACATTATTAATTACAGAGGGAATGACTAAAGACTTTATGTTGGAATCAAAAAAATGGGAAATCGAATGGTGAAGATCTTAAACATCGAAGATCACTCAGTTCATACCAGACACCTGGATCAAGTGAAAATAAATGAAGTAGGTTGTTCCAATTATAATTTTTATGATTGCGCTACTAATCCTGATTTTGTAGATAATTCAGAATTAAGTTTTAGATTTTAGATTTACAGCTTGATTCCACACTGTATTTTTGGTACAAGTATGGAATTTTCAGCATGGATATCGGTAGCCCAAATTTCGCAGGCCGACCATAGATATCAGGTGTGCGCCGGCGTACGCTCAAGCCCCGGACCATGTGCATGGTCGGCGAGAGTCCTATCCACTGTGCCACCGACGCAAGTTCAGATGATACTGATGAAAGTAATATCACAGAATCAGTTAGAGGATTCCAGCGACTTGCAAGCAAACTGAGACATCATTATATATAAGGAAGGAGACATTCGACGCGTGGCGGATGTGGTAACTGACAATTTCTATCTTTGTATTGTTTAAATACTTGCTGTTGTTTGTTAATATGAATTAATATATAATATATGATGATCTCGCTAAATACAAATTCCTAAATTCATCCCTCTCGGTGTTTTTGGTTGAATTCTCGTAATTCGGTCATTTCGAAATAGAAATACTACTATTACAAATAATTACAACAAATTGGCGTAGCTATGGAACTAAATAGCATAAGAAAGTTTCCAACGAATGGTTCACCGCAAGAAATCACCGACTATCTCGAGTGTTGTTTCCTCCTGGTTATTCCTTGGATGTATAAATTGTTCTCATTGATGCTGTGTAACTGACGCTTTTTGTGAAACAACATCAAACCACATATGTAAAGCTACTTTTATGTTAACACATATCTCATCAATCAAAACTGTTATTAGTTTACATGCATAATAATTTTACTCAATGACTATTCATTGTACAAAACTGCGTGGGGGGATGCATGAATCTCCTAGGGAGATATCAGTTCTTTAGAAATAACAGTTTCCTAATACTCAGGAGTAGAGTTAAGCACGAAATCTAGGGAAAGTAGAACCTGCTGGTTGATTCCAGATTTGACTTTATTTGACTCAGAATCAATACTCTCAGTATCATTTTAACAGTTACCATCAAACGGTTTTCAAAATAGGCGAATTTCAAAGTAATCAACAGCGATTTCAATTTACTAATTTGCGGCTCTGTCTGAATGGAACAAAAAGTCTAACTTTCTTTCACACGATGTAACTACACAACGAGTGAGTATTGCTGAATACTTCAGTGCTATGTGGTACGTGTTTTGCCAACTTCTATCAGTGTGTTTCATAAATTAAGCTTGTATAAACTTTTCAAAGAGATTAACTTACCAGCTTGACCTACGAAATTATGGAGACAATGAAGGAAGTTGTGAGTATACCGACCACGTAGAGAATGCAAATATAAATGAATGTTTACACTCGAAAATATATGAGTCTTGTTAATTCGTGGGCCACCCTTTCTTCACAGCACCTACTGATTTGCTCTTTTCGAAAAATAAGAGAAAAAGATCTCCTCTGTTTGAAGAACCACTCACGGATAACTCCGAAAAGAGTAATTATTCGCTGAATGCCTTTACTTTTACAAGATTAATTTGTCTGAATAACTTTTCATGAATTTTCATTGAATCAGATAATAATCTTCACATACGGTAGTCAGTGGAATTTCTGGTTGTAACTCACTAAAGTCTACGATGGGTTGTCGAATGAATTGTTAGGCTTTGTTACACAATTCATAGCTGTCTGGTTACAGGATTTCATCATGAGCTGACATTGGTTAGAGAACCATTGGAAAACCAACAGAGAGTACTAGACAGCTGTTTCGTCCTAGTTTTGGACTCTTCATCAGAACGCACCCACCGGGATTCGAACCCAGGACCTTCTGGTTACAAGGCGAGCTCGTATACCACTAGGGCACTGGGACACTATCCAACGGCCAGTCCATGAATTCTAACTTCTCCCGATTCACGACATAGCACAACCTCTAGCCAATGTCTTCGGCGGTGAGTATTTGTCCTCACACGCGACCTGCAGCATCCTACTGGTCACGACTTACCACTGGAACCACAAGCAACTACCAACCTGAAACAGCTGTCCACTACTCCCAGGTTTTCCAGTGGTACTCTAACCAATGTCAGCTCATGATGAAGTCCTGTAACCAATCAATGAAATCCCTACAAACCAATACTTGAATAACACAGATGTCTTCTAGTGGGGTGTGTTACATCACAAGTAAAATTTTCCAGGTTGCAGTGTTTCCATAGCTGACGTAAACAGACGACTATATCTTAGTTCCAATAAACCATATTACCATAGACGTCGGTTGCACAGCGGTTATGACTCTCGCCGACCATGCTCATGGTCCAGGGTTCAATCCCCCGCCGAAGCACACCTGATATCTATGGTCGGCCTGCAAAATTTGGGTTACCTATGTCGCATGCTGAAAAATCCATACTTGTACCAAAAATACAGTGTGGAATCAAGCTATAATCAAACTGAAATCAAATACTTGAAAAAACCTGTGTCTACTAATTTTGAACTAACAGACGAGAAAGTGACTTTATGTATACTGAAAAATGAAATCAGATGTTAGTGTAGCATAACCTTGATCAATTTTATTCTGGAGTTATATTTGTTCTTCCTGCTTTCATATTTATCAGGAGGAATTCGTCTGTGAATTTAGGTTTTAACACTTGATGCCTGTGTAAGCATTACTATTATGAACAAACAATGCCGACAGTAAAACTAGTCTTTGTGAAGCTATTACCTTTCATTTTACAGAATATTTGACCACTACTACAGAAGTTCAGCTTCAAACAGACATACTTCATACATCTTACACTTGGATTAACGTAACGTTACATTATCAAAAGTGATGTATCCTTTAGTGGGACGACAGTCAGAATACCTGTTATTGATTATAACCATATGACCATGTCACTACCCTCATCAATGCTTACTCAAACTTACCGTTGACTTCATTCAACAAAATTGTGAGAAATATGATAATAAATCCAAGTAGTGAAATACTGAATTCCATCACTTCGAAAAGCTTGTTTGATTATCTTCGTGTGTGTGTGGATGAAAAAAATACTAACTGAATTCTCATTGTAATTTATGGTGCAATGTACGAGTTTGTATAGTGTGTCTGTACCTCGCTCATTGTTACACCACCAAAGTTTATACTCACCAGTGTTATTTTTTTGTAATTGGAGGATTGTGTTGTGTCATCATTACAACGATGGTTATTCGATTACAGATCTGCCTCTTCGGTTCATCAAACATGCTAAATACATCTCGTGATAATATCTTCAGTGACTTTCGTGACATTTATTGAAATTTATCTGCATGTTTTTCAGCATAACCATGACTTTTTGGCAAAGCGAGCATGCCAGTCGTTCAGTAAGTCAAAGTGCCACTAAAATATCGTGAAAATGAAATCGTCGGAATGAGAATTTTCTTCACTGAATTATTTGTTTTCGTGTCTCCATGGGGATTAATAATTTAACTATTCAATATCATATCTCAACGTCAACTTAATTCTTCTGTAAATGACAGCACAAAAAAGCGTAATCAAATTGCTGTGGTCACAATACAAATTTATTAATCGCATTTGTATGCAGCACAGAAAAATACTGCGAAATAAGATACACTGCTAACGTTGTTCTCATTGTCGTCCTGTAGACGTCCTGTCTGTTGGTGTCGTTTTGTTGGTGTATATGTTTGAGAATGGCCGGACTATATGCATTTATTAAGCAACCAGTACTCCGACGTTTTCCAGTGATTCTCTAACTGATGTCAGATCATGATTAAATCATCCATGCAATCAAACAAAATCCCTACAAAACCAATACTTGAAAATTAATCTGGTGCTCACTAGTGATTGGCCCTATTCAAGGAGTTAATCTATGGTTCTAGTGGGAAGCCGTGATCAGTAGGGTACAGCAGTTTGAAGATGAGACAGTAACTAATAGAGGAAGACATTGCGAATTGGCTGCTTTATGTCATGAATTGGCAGAAGTTAGAATTCAAAGGCCATTGGATCGAGTCCCAGTGGGTTAATGCTATACGAGCTTGCTAGCCTTGTAACCAGAAGGTCCTGGGTTCGAATCCCAGTGGGTGCGTACTGATGAAGAGTCTCAAACTAGTCGGACGAAACAGCTGTCCAGTACACCCAGTTGGTTTTCCAATGGTTCTCTAACTACTGTCAGCTCATGATGAAATCCTCCATGCAAAAAATAATGACATTATTCTTAAGATTAACTTGGCTATTTTAATAGATATTCGGATAAATAGGGCATATGTATATAGCAGCACTGCGAATGTGTTCTCGGGATAGTGAGACATTTTTCGCATTTACAGTCAGGATTTGTATTAGTGATATCTGAGTACGCGAAACCTCATAAAATCATAAACAGACTATCAGTAGATTTATTAAACAGAACTTCTGTCTACCAAACAAGTTGTCTTAGCGTTAAATTAAATATATTTTTAGTATTGTCATCAATGTCTTAGTGTGATTACTCATTTGTGATTATCAGAGAACGATAGTGCTGAGTTAAACAAAGCAGTCGGTTGATCAAAAAAACGCGCATTTCTATTTCACACATCCAGGCTTACTTCTGCAGTTTCTATAAGCTTCACTTACTTTTTCACAACGTCTACACCATAAACTTATACGTTCCAATCGAGTATTGTTCAACGGCTTAATGAGAATTGAAACTAAACGGTTTCATCAACGTGTGACCAATCCACTTCCATATTTTTCCGCATATTTGTTAAGTTATAAGTTGTTCTGTAATGCGTTGCTAAAGTTCCCCGTTGTTTATCCTTCCTGGCCTGCCATCTGATCTTCAACATTGCTAGATGGTATTTAGTGATAGAAGTGTGCAGTATTGTGTTGAAAAGTTTTCAGTGACGCACACACGAGTTCTTTCAAACTTACGAAAGTAATCAATCGCCATAGGTGCTCACAATTCGGATTTTCTTTGATGTACAAAGTCTTTTGGACCTCTTCACTAATTTTCGTGAAGGGAAGGGCTAAACTGCTCTCAATTTGCTATCTCGCCTGGTTCTGAAATACTCAGTTTTCAATTCGCCTAACATATGCTTTAATTTACTTCATGGGAGGGAATATGGGGCGTGTTTCTATTCCACTGGATAAGGTCATCAAGAATCTCATAGGGTCGATTTGATTACATCATCACTTAATACAATTCAAGCTTAGAGAACACTAAATTTCAGCGAACGTCTGACTGGCTGCCACATATTTTTCCCGAAAATACATCGTGGTAATGATGATGAATCTTCAGAGACATTTTAAAAAAGTCTTGCCAAAGCGACTGAAGTTGATATCACGAGACATTTTAACATATTTTATCAATCAGAAACACAGAATTTTCTAATCGATGAAGCAGCATTGAAATGTTGACATTAAGCAATCCACTGCTTACCAATTAACAGTGGTAAGTATGTAGTTCGTCAATGTAACAATGACCGAGATACATTCACGCCATACAAACTCACGCATTATACCACACATTACAGTTAGAATCTAATCAGCATCTCTTCCTGTACACATGAAGTTAACCAAACAAGCACTTCCAGATGATGGGATTTAGCTTTTCACTACTTGGATTTCTTATCATATTTCCAGAAATTCTATCAAATGGTGTCGATGGTACGTTTGAGAGAATACTGATTATTGTAATTACAGTGTAATATTGTTATACTCTGCATAAGCTACTCTAACTTTCAACCTTATACGCTACATATCACTAACTAATAACGTAAGCACAATGAGGCGAAAATGACGTGATCTCAGTAAATCTGAGTGGGTTGAACCCGTGTGAAGACGCCTGGATGTCCTACACACAGAAAGTGATTGCATCAAAAACAGCATTTTCTCTGTAACACATTTTCCTGCATATTTGTAATATTCAACACCATATAAGTACCTCATGTAGGAATAAAGTGTCTACAATCAGTTTCATACATGGCTTCCACTTAATTGTTTTCGACGCGCCAATTTATCCATACTTTTCTGCATTCCCCTCATAATTTCCTAGGTCAGGATATTCGTTCTCTTTACAGAAGGTGTGTTTCTTGTACATTTATCATTAATAATGTCCTAAATAACTGAAGTAGTTGCTATGAAACCAACAAGTTTACTGTTTTAACTGGACAAGCAGATCTATTCATGAACATTCGACTAACAGAGAGAGCTGATGGGACACTGTATGTAACAGTACCGCCGAAAGACTATTGTAGGTTCCCATTAATCGCAAACGAAGCTTGATTATATTTCCTGAAACTTAGATCCAAAGAATCTGCATCGTTTAGTCTGCAGATGAAGATATCACACTTTTTGAGGAGGAAACCAAAATGACCACTTTCCAATCTTTAAAGATGAACACATAAAGTCAAAACTCAGCTGAGCGAATCCATTCTCTATGCAGAGAAAGATGTTAAGCATTGATGTAGCATTCAAAGGACACCTTTAGTTGGGCATGCTTTGTTGATGCCTACTATTATCCGATAACCATATATACATGTATCTGACGATTCCCTTTCTCTTCAGAAGAACTACATGTGATTTATTCAATGCATGTTTTGTCTAGAAGAATTAGGGAAGATTGTCCCAAAGGGCTACAGAAACGTCACGATGATTCAATACAAAGCAGTACAATCAGAGACGCATATTGAGCAAATATCAATCTCTTGCAACATGAAACATCCAGAGTTTGATTTATATCTAACGTTATTCAGTCAATCGAGATATGTTTGTCCAACTAAAGAAAGGCTGAATTGATTAAAAGTCTGCTGAGAGGTTTTACGGACAAAACAGTCTTTTTGAGGAAAAACAATTAACACGTTGAAAAAGGTTTTTAGAATTTTATGATGTATTCATCCTCAAAATAAAATGGAGAGAATAGAAGTGAAACACGTATGCATAACTCTTAGATTCACGATTGTTTTTCATGACTTTGAAGTGAATACATACAAATATGCTTTGATGATTCATCCAACCCACTGTTTTAAATATAGATATTGGAGAATATTTAACGACGATAATATTATACCTAAAAGAGTATACAAGGACGTAAACTGTAAACTCTCCACACAAATTTCGCCTTTTCACTAAGGACATAATGATGAAACGATAAAGTATCCATTTTCAAACCATCACCCACCATGTTGCACATCTTTTAATACTCTACAATACATTCCATTCATAGATAAAATGGCTTAGACGTTGAAAAGTTTTGAAGTATGGGTGAAACGCAATCATACTAGCCTGAAGATTCGTCACAGAGTAAAACACACACTATTTTTCTGCGAAAATGATATAGCCTGTCGAGGTACATTATCTCGTGGTTTCCAAGTTGTGTCAGTCAAATTCTTAGGAATTGTACGGATTTCTGTGTCGATCTATTTTTCATACTGGTATTTATTTGGATATCCCAGTTAACTTTAAGATTACCATCCATTTTCCCGTGAGTTGCATATCACTGTTTTAACTTCCGCATATCCTATTTGTCTTAGTCCTTTGTCCTTGATGGTGATGATAAGAGTGTGTTGTTTCACAACTGGAGTTTGGTTTGCTTGAAGTCAAGTGAACATCATGGAATGACTGCCTGAACTCGCACCTCCTGAAAGGAACGTGTGAGTTCTGCTTGATTCTTGCAAATAGGTTTTTGATTATAACTTGGTGGCAGTATTCATGTTGAATACCAGGTAATTTATAATTGTGTTCAGTGAACGAGGTTTGTTGAACTGTGGGTATTATGTACCTGAGAGACCTTTAGACTGTATAGTTATCAGACTGCATTGTTGAGAAGGTTATGCATTTCTGATATTCTAATATTAATTTACACAAATGAGAAGGCTTGTTGAAGAAAGCCTTCTTCGCAGGTGCACTTCGAATAACCTTCTCACTAACACCAATGGTTCGCGTGAATGTGAAGGGTAAGCTATCAATGTTGACCACATCAGTGTGTATCTACCAATTTTAAAGCTCGTGTGGAGATAGGTATTTCAGCCGTAGACAGAGTTTGTTATCCAAACGCACCGTCGAACACTTACCCTCATGGTTTTATAAAGGCGAAATAAGATCCTCTGCAGCGCTATCATGGAACCTCCGACAGAAT